AATAGCCAATAGTTACAAAAAATGTGCTTAAGCAATCAGAAAAAACTGTAAATGACTAAATGAGTATATCTGTTGTGGTCATTGTCATTGATATACTGTGGAATTATAGAGCTATGAGCAACAGTGACATTTATTTGACATCTGATAGCTTTGATATTAATTTGTTGTTGTTGTTTACCATATCTCAATATCATTATATGTGACATGCTTCATATAGGCTTCAAATATGAAGGAATTTATATATCATCAGTAACCATTAAGTTTGTGATCATTCACTTAAGAAAAAAAAATTTATATATATATATATTTTATTTGGTTTATTTGGGTCAAAAAATCACAACTGAATCCACCCTTCTGATGGGATCAGGATAATCCTGTTTTTTTGGATCAAATAGATCCCAATCTGAGTTCAAAGTTTTGAATAACCCAAAGGGCAGGTTTGATCCAAATCAAATGTGGTCTGATCTTAATTCAGGATCCCTCTTTTACTTTTGAAAAACCCATTTCCAAGATTTGATCCAATCCGTGATCCAAAATCCCACTGGATTACTTTTGAAAAACTGGGCCCTGGAGTGACATAAAGTATAAGATGCATGTAGAGCAATATTAACGTAACCATTAAAAATTTATAAAAAATAAAGGCATTAAACAAGATTAAAAGAGAAAACAGGATTAACCACTGTGTACCCATGCCTATGTATAAGGCACTTCCCATGTCCTATGGCAATATCGTGGTATTCCTGCAATAGTTAAGAAATCCCACATGAGTGCCATATCCTAATGTGATTTGGTTAGAATTCTACAGCAGGTCTTGTGGTATGCATCAGTGGTAATCTCAGGAGCTGAATTTAATAAGTGCAACACATACTTTTTAATTATTAACATATTTACCTTTCATTTATTGACACATTACGTATTATTATAGTTATCATTATTATTAAACATGTATTGTTATTATTGTTGCAATTATTATTACTGATTATTAATGTTATTATCATAACATATTACTCATTAATTTATTACTTATTAATATATTGATGTTAAATTGAGCTCAGTTATGTCTAGGAGAAATACAAAGGACAAGAGATCCTATTTTGAGTTTTCCTTTCTCTGGGGATACCACTGGAATACCAATATCTCCTTTTGGTCTGGGTGTGACGCAAAGGCTACGGTTCGCTCTGAGTTATCAGGGTGTAGGCAGCTCCAACTCCATTGTCATATGTGTCTGTCATGACCTGGTGGGCAGCTCTGGGTCCAAAAGTGAAAGTGCAGGACTGATGAATATGTGCAGAAGCCTCAGGAAGTCAATATTATACAGGTTGTCGACTTTTTGGCTTGCGTTTCATTGACTGGGCTGCTTGAACTGTGAACAGAAGTGCAAAGTTCAGGTCCAGAAAGTACAAATGCAGACCAAGGCTTTGTTTCAACCAACCAGTTGAGTACTCTGTGAATGTGACTCTGTATACTCAGCTGGTTGGTTGAAATAAAACCTTGGTCTGCATTTGTACTTTCTGGACCTGAACTTTCCATCTCTGCTGTGCAGTCTAGTGAACTGGTTTGCTTAATTTTAGCCTCTGCTACTGCTGTTTCAATATGATAAGCAATCGTTATAGCTTTCTCCAATGTCAGTGGCACTTCAAAAAGCAGCCCACTCTCTAATGCACGGGGAATTTGTTTTTTTTCCACAAATATTTTTTTTCTGCCTTGTTTCCTTAAAGCAGCTACATACTATAATCTGTAATCTCACCCAGACACTGGCCATGTTTGGTGAAAAAACTGTAGTACTCTGGTACTACATTAACTTTCACGATGAAAAAATCCTGAATAGCTTGTAAAACAGTGTCAGCTTTGTCATCCGGTACTGTGAACATATAAAAAAAACCTTCAGTGCACAATGAATGAGTAAGGCATGTTTCCTTGCCCAGGGCCAACATTAGATGACTAAAATATGACTATAACTAAACCACATTTTTGTCAAAAGACTAAGACTAAAACTAAATTCAATTATGCTGTTAGAATTAACACTGCATACCATATAATTTTCACTTTTAAACTTTTAAAGTGCATGTAAACATGTTAGTCTTACTGAAATCGTACTAAATTGAATTTCTCAAAGTTGGACTAAGACTAAGCCTAGGCGCTCTGTGCATGCTAAGATGCTTAGAGCATAGCAGAGGTCGCATTCAAATAGGTACCAAGAGTACGGTACTTCAAGGTTTTGATTTTCCACTCATGTAAAAACTGGTACTGGAGTCAGCTAGATTAAGATCAGGCTTTTTCTTACCTTCAATTAGGCATGGATATTATTGTGCAGGGAGTTTAAGTCTTGCTATAACATTTTTTGTCATGATTATTCATTTCCAAATTTCTAGTATGTTTAAAAATTAGTTTGAAGTTTTACTTCTGCTGCCTTTGCACAAGCATCTGAATGATGAGGATTCCCTGGGAGGTCTGGCTGTAGTAATACAGGGGCATACCTCTGGGATAGTGCCTGACAAAGTGATCAATACAATAAGAGTTTGTTTACTGGCAAACTGTTCACTTATTTGCAATCCTTTACTGTTATATTACAGTGCTTTCAGGCCCAAGTACGGTCCAGTATTTCTTACTTGCCCTATGAGAATGTGAACTCAAAGAAAGGGAAAAACAACTAGATAAACACTGAGATAGTCGTAATTTGTGTTTATATTTTCAAATAACTGCTGGTCACATCTGGATGTACTTGGGGGAAAAAAGCAATAATGAGCACAACAATAAAAAGTCATATAATATCCAAGATGAAATTACTTAATATACCTTTACCATGCATTCTTCCATGTCACAGACTGGCTAAGAGATTGTAGGATGATCAGTGTCACACTTTAAAGAATTATGAGTGGACTTTATACAAAAAAGAGATTTAATTTATCAGGGAATGAATCCATAGAGGTTCATCCTGAATATCTTAAGGAATACAACAGGGAATTAAGCCTGGCAGACAGAACAGTGTTCAGTGAAAACTGGTAATTATGTTAAAGGTTACAAGGCTAGGATGCACAATGAATCTCTACCCTCTATATTGTAACAATACCACGTTATGTATGATTATACTGTAAGAGGGTGTAATAAAGTTGAATATAAAATTAATGGATAGACGGATGGAATAGTTAGTCGATTTTTGGATATATTTACAGTTTGACCCTTACATGATTAAATTCCATCTCCGTGAGACACACAGCCACATATACTGTACACTCCCACCATATTACCGTATATACACTCATTGGCCACTTCATTAGGAATACCATTCTAATACTGGGTAGGCCTCAACTTTGGTCTGTTCTTCATGGCAAGGACTCAGTTAAGTGTTGAGAACATTGGGTCTATGTTGACTTAACGGCATCACATAATGGCTGCAGATTTGTTGTACATTCATGCTCTAAATTTCCCATTCCACCAAATCCCGAAGGTGCTCTGCTGGGCTCAGATCTGGTAATTGGAAGGCCATTGAAGTACACTACCATGTTCACAGAATCAGACTGAAATGACATATGATTTATGACATAGTGTACAATCCACAGTATACCACCAACAGGCACCCTGGACTGTCGACACAAGGCAGGTTGGGTCCATGAATTTGTGCTGTTTACACCAAATTTTTACCACCTCTTCTCCATGTTGCAGCACAAATTGATATTCAACAGACCAGGTGACATTTTTCCAGTCATCAGCAGTTCAGTTTACATGAGCCTGTAAGCACTGTAGTCTCAGTTTCCTGTTCTTAACTGATAGGAATCCAATATGGTCTTCTGCCATTGTAGTCCATGCACCTCAAGGTTCAGCAAGTTGTGTTCAGACATACTTTTTTCGTTCATCACTGTAGTAATGAGTGGTTATTTGAGTTATTGAAGCCTTCCTATGAGCAGTCTACCCATTATCCTCTGATTTCTCTCATCAATAATATGTTTCTTTCCATAGAACTGCTATTTACTGGAGTTTTTTACACCATTCTGTGTAAACTATAGAAAGTGATGAAAATCCCAGGAGATCAGCAGTTTCTGAAAAACTTTACTTATATCACATATATCTAATTTCCCCTTATTCTTATGTTTGATCTGACCTATATCTGAAGCTCTTGGCCCAAATCTGCATGAATTCATGCACTGAGCTGCTGTCACATGATTGGCTGTTTAGATATTTACCTGAAGTGTCCAGGTGTTCCTAATATTGTAGGCAGTGAGTGTATACATACATTTCTAGAATAACAGGTTTAGGAGGTGATCCAGATTCTTGTTGCCAAATTAAACTATTCAATTTGAATGAGAAAGTCATCATGCATTGCATAATGAAACTAGCTTAGGCGTCAGTATCTGGGTTTCTTTAGCTTGTTGTCACTGGCTCAGATGTAGGTAGATGTAGTCAAATCTGGAAGCTTCCATCATCCACTAATGCAGTTCCCTCCACAGTCCGCCATGGGGTCACCGATGAGTCATTTGTGGACTGGCTCCTCTGCTTAGAGAGTCCTTAGATTAATTATGTCTCTTATTTCCCATACTCAGACCACCCATGATGCTCCAGTATAGCCCTTTAAGAAAGAAATACGCTTAAGTACCTGAACCACAGCTATGATACAACTTACCTACCAACTCAGACAGATAACAGGTTAATATAATGCAGTTACTCAATACAGCTTTGCTGTTGGAATACGACAAATAAACACAGCTTTACACTAATGACATATTGGCTACCTTCTAATACTACCCTCTAACTTTCTCTGAAGTTTCACGGTGACGTACAAGAAGCTAAAAATATTTTAGTAATTTAAATATTCATTAATTTCACAATAATTTAAGTTTCCTTTTGTGTCAGCTACTATTTTCAGGGACCTGAAGTATAAACGTTACTACATGTGTTGTTTATGACTAGTATTGTGAGAGGCTTTTCCTTTATAAAAGAGGCTCTTCTCTTCTAATAAACAATTAAATACTTGGTTCAAATATCTTGGTTTGAATACCATGCAAATAAGCGGGAGACAGAATGAAGAAGCTTACCATTTGAGTCAGATGCTGCCTCCTGTAATGCTTGATCAGCAGTACTGTGACTATCAGGATACTGGTCAAAATCCCTACTGTGATGGGAACCACACTGACAGCTGTGATTTGTTCTTGAATCTGCTTCACTATAAACAAGACGACAGGACAAGATCATGGTCAGCAGGAGAGCATGGCAAGAAAAGCTATAGGACTGAATGGACCCCTTAGGGCTAAGGAAACAGTGCACAAAGCTTACTCACTCGTGGGGGTGATGGCAGAGGGAGCGGGAAGAACTTCAGCAGTGGCATTGAGGTGCAGTCTGGGATTCTCCACCACACACTTTAGAATGGTGCCATTATCCATGCTGATGGATAGTGTGCTGGTCAGGGTATACAGCTGAGAAAAATTGTCCTGGTCCTGTGTAGAGTTAGCCACAATAGGCTCCCCATTGCGCAGCCAAAACAGTCTCCCCAGTGGGTATCCTCCCCTTGCCTGGCAGTGGTATTTCCCTGTTCCAGAATTCATCCCATTCACATCCAACTGGAGAGTATAGTTTGCTGGAAAGAAGAGGCACATATAAATTAATCTCTAAATACATGATTGCCACAAAAGTGCGCAATGAAATACCTACAGAGAATTGAGATATTGGTATTTTTTTCCCAGTACAGGAAGCTTTTTCACAAACCAGCAACTTTTGTCACATTCCCATGGTAGGAACTCAGCCTAACTGATGTTCCTCTGAGGTACTTCCTGAACCTTTTTTAGTCCCTAATCTGGAATAGGTACTTTGGGCTCAACCAAGACTACTGGGTGGGGCTTACATTCATAAACTTTGCTGAATGGTTGACCACAAGAACTGGTGTTAATTTGGAAGTTACTCAGAAATGCAGGGGGAAAAAAAGAAATAAAAGTACTGGAGCAAAAATTGAGCAGATGGATTTTTTATCAGATTAAATGCATTAATGAATAACTTTTTATGCTTATGTCTCCATATTTCTGCATTGGAAAATTCAGTCAATAACCAATATACTTATAATCTCGCCGGTGCCAGAGCATGTGAGCGGAGTGGAGCGGTGAGAGTTTCCGCTCCTCTGCTCTAATTCACACTAAGCCGCTCCGCTCAGCACCGCCCCTCGCTCCACTAAAATTTCTTCCCACTCCAGTCAAATCGCTCCACGCTTCCTCCAATTTAAAAGAGGGACAAATAATCTGCATGCCTAACAAATGTCACCTTAAACCGAAGCCTTATATCATAAAGAAATATGAGCAAACGCAACATTGCCAGTCAGAACACAAAATATTTATTTTTAAACAACATAAAGGCACAACGGACAGGTTTGGAAATGGCATTCCACACAAAAATAGGCTTAAAAATAAAGGAATCAGTGGGCTTAATAGCCTAAAGAATATACAGGCTAAACATCCACGTTTTAAATTCCTCATTTTTTTTCTATTGATGCTGCTGCGTCTCTCTATAAAATAAAATTTCACTGACAGCGTTACGTGAAATTAAAAAATCCTATTAGACCTACTTTGAATGACAAAACTAATTTATTTGATTACCAATATTTACTTTATAGGCTTTTACACTTTTATTTACTTTATAGACTTGATATGCTACAACCATATAAAACTTGCTTACATTTTGCTCTGGCCTCCGCGTGTTCGCGTAGCACACTCTCATGTTTCCGAGAAAGGTATCTTTTTAGATTACAAAGTGATTATTTACTGACTGAAACAGTTTTCAGTGTTCTTGCTCTACATTATTGTCATCTATACGTTTGATAAGAATAGTACACTTGTATGATTTATCAGTTTCCTTTGTGAAATACTTTGCGAAATCCATCTCGGCCAATTTGTGTAACAGTCTTGATAACTGTACAGATTAATTCTGGGTAGATTTGGGCACGCCTCAGAGTCGTAGTGTGAGCGGTATCGGAGCGAAATTGGAGCGAGATAGAGCGACCGCTCCAGCCTTAAATAAAAAACCGCTCAGCGCTCTGACCAAATTCCGCTCGCTCCGCTCCTCGCTCACGCTCCACTCCACTCCGCTCACATGCTCTGGCCGGTGGTGGTGGTGAAACTTGCAAGCACCTACTAAGGGAATCACATTGCATCATTTTTCATTCTATGGAAAATAAAAGATTGATCTGCTGGCCAGATTTAATAATAAATTTTAAACATGTCATGCTATTTAAACATAAATATAAATAAAAGTATGCTTCCCATTTTTAACCAATATGGGATGTGTTTTGTCCTGAATTTTTGGAGTGTGCAATCAAATCCCCCCAATACCTAAAAAAAGATTTTTTCATCTTTCATTGTTTTGGAATTGCAGCATAGTTTCCTATGAAATTACAGGTGAAGTTTAACCTATGAGCCTTCCTGAATCTCCCATACTTATTTAGCATAAATTTCACAATTCTTGTTTTGTGGTGGGAAAACGGGTTCCCAGTGAAGACGACTCAGGAACTTGGAACCAAGAACTAGGTTCCTGAACTTTGGAGTGAAAGTGCCTTATGTGGCAAAGTGTGACAGTCCATGATAAAATGTATGGGTTACATCTCATCTCTGCACTATACAAGGAACTACCAGGGCCAGTGACCTCCTGCACCCAGGTTTGCTTGAAGCTGCATTCCATAGCAGAAAAAACATCATACAGTTAAAGAAACTAATAGAACAACGTTTTTCCACAAAGCTTTATTTTTTTTTTAACTTTTTTTAACGAGTTTTTTTATTCTAAGTGTAAGCAATTATGGCTTTTTACGCACTTGACCAACAGGAACCTTGAGTTCTGTTTTCATAATGAAAAGCATTGTGTATGCTGCAGCCTACAACAGTAAATAGTCCCATATGGTAATCCACATAATTATGTTAGTTGTGCTACATAATATGTGAATTTAATATCCGACGATTGAGTTAAACCCAGTGAATAGAGGAGTTAGACTAATTTTAATATATCTAATACTTTTATGTATAGCTAATGTTTATGCATTTTCTTGTGCAAATGTTGTTTATTACTGTGGTATTTATTGGATGCTAGACTGTTAGATTTAGCGTTGCAATAGCTACTCATTGTTATTTGGCATAAAAGTGAATAAAATAATACAAATGAGTTGTTCAAGTAATGAGTCAACCACAATGCCGAGGAGAGTAAGTCTTTCATATTTCAAAAATGGGGACTAAAAGAGTGAGTAGTTTGGTCAAATGAGAAAGTGAAACGGCAAATGAATTAGCATGTATTAACTGAATTTAGAATATGTATATCACCATATTGGAATATAAAGATAAAATTATATAATTATAAATTATTATTTAAGTTATACAGTAAAATGCCGTTGTAGTGGACTCCCTTATAACGGAATATCGTCTATAACTGAGGAGGTCCCCTGGTGCCGGCCGTGCGCCTTTAAGAACATGCAGAAAAAGCATCGGATATAGTGACTCGCATATAACGGAATTTCGCTTATAACAGACAAACAGTTTGGTCCCCAGGGCCGCTATTAGCTGTAGTTTTGTCCGGCTATAACAGACATGCAGGCTCCGCCTACAAGGATGTGGCGTGCCGGTGATATCCAGCGCAGATACGTAGTCGGGATTATTAATAGTCACGCATCTGGTGAGGTAAAGTTGGATTACTACATGTACAATATAATAATCTGTATCACAAGTGTGTCTGCTGGGGTGTGGCATGAGTAAATGGTGTCCTGTAGTTGTGTTCTGGGCATACAGCAACTCTGGATATAAGGGACCGTTTTGCCAGGTCCCTTGAAGTCCGCTATAACTGGATTTTACTGTAATTATAAAATTCTAATTTATAGATATTTTTAACCCCCCCCCCCCCCATCTTTGAGTCAGACGACGTCTGACTCAAATTCCACTGATAATTAAAGTGAACAGCAATCATTAGCATACTTCATGAATGTGTAACATATTAGCCATGATACTGATAGCTTTATGATACTTATTACAGTATAGGGTTATTTAGGTTGGTAGTCTTGCCATGGTACTTGCTGTGATGATTTTGTTTTTAAATGGCAAATGAATATAGCATGCATCATTTGAATTTATACTATGTATTTCACCATTTTTAAATATAAAGATAAAATTATGCAATTCATGTGACATAAAGCAAACACACTCACCAACCACCTGGAGTGACACCTTTGTTTCAACTATATCTCCATTCCTGTAGAAGCAGCTGTAGGTGTGCTCATCAAACACAGATACATTGCGGAGCAGCAGAGAGCAGTTCTTATGATTTTGTTGGTAATAAAGGTGGGTCCTGCTTTGATCCGGTACAGTCACGTTGCCAAACCGTTGGACATACTGGGCAACAACGGTTAGTCCAATCTGCCAGACCAGGTATGGGTCCCCTGTACTTGCTGGGCAGGGGCAGTGGAGATGAACATCGTCACCAACAAGAGCCAGTTGTGTGTCATGGGCCAGGGCTGGGTCAGAACAATCAGACACACAAATAACAGGAGGCATTTATTGCTACTTCACAGGACACACAGGCACACCCCTTACTAATGTTTTTTTGGCAAGGGCCCAGTTGAAATCCAAATTGGATTTTAAATCAGAGGAAGAGAAACTGAGAGCAATACTTGTTTTTCTTATTATAAATATCTGTAAATGAATAAACAACACACTATGCAAACTACAGTTAGCACAACCCAAAGCAAGAAGGTTTCCAAGAATAACACAGTAGGAAAAAATGGAGCTAAATCAATTAAAAATACAATAAGTAGCAAATCATTACCCATTTGCTTACACTCTTTGATGACAAAAACACAAATACATTCCAAATGCATGCAGGACCCTCAATCAGAACTGTTCAGTACATTACATTGTTATTTACTGATAGTTTGTATCTCGCTTAAAATTTTAATTGTTGCCTGTAATTTAGGCAAAACATATAACTGTAGCCAACATATAACAAAAATAGGTATAAATTTAGGTGGATGGTGAGTGAAAAAGTTCCATTCTTATAAGAAGGAAGCAAAAGCAGCAGATTTCAGAAGGTTCACCAATAAATTCATGCTGATTAACTCACTAGCTGCCTATGCAAAAAGATATGTGAGAGGCTGATGCAAGAAATGGTCAGCAGGCACTGGGGTCACACACAAGCATGGGGGGAGTGGTTTTTCAGATCATACGCCCAGGACTCCACCATATTGGTATACACAATCTCGATAGGACTGAGAAGCTGATGTGAAAGCAGCTTTGGGGTTTTCGGTTCCTCTGCCATATGACTCCTGCCTCTGTCTACTTCATTTGTCTGCTTCTGCCACAGAGGAAGTGACCTCTTTGTCCAATGAGTGGAACAAAAAAAACACCATGCACAGCTCTCTTCAGAGATCTGAACTTTTTTCAGCAGGGAAATCCCCCACATTGTTGAAATGTCTGCCTCAAATTCCACTGATAATTAAAATGAAGAGTAATTACTTCCATACTTCTTAAATGTATAAAATATTAGCCACAGTACTGATGGTTTTATGATATTTATTAGTGTAGGTTTATTTGGGTTGGTAGTCTTGCTATGGTACTTGCTGTTGTTATTTTGTTTTTAAGTGGAAAAGTTCAGTGACAGATTTAATCATTCTTATGTGGCCGTGCATGGAGGTACAACTTTTTAAGCTTTAGAAATGCCATGACATGTTGAGACATAACACCATGGGTTTGCGTCATTTATTTGGTTCAGCAACCTGACACACTACACAATCAATCTCTTGTTTTTCCTGAAGAAGGTCAAGTTCTGTATCCTCAGAGTACAGCTGTTATTTCAAAACCTACACTGGAGTTTGGCTTTGTGTTGTGTTTTCTGCTATAGACAGAATGAGAGCAGAAGTCTTCACCTACCTGTTTAAGGTTACATAAAAATGACGTACCTGTTAGAAGGCAGGAAAGCAGCATGACTAACATGCTACAGTTTATTCTGCTGGAGGTAGAAAATATATAATGTTAATAAATATTAATAATTAATTAATGGAAGTTCTTTTGGCCAAATTTCAGTTCACAGTGATGTCAGGTGACATTGCTTAAAATCCCCGTTCTTTCCCCTTTCGTTTTATCGACGTTTCACGTGCTGCCGTTAAGGACTACTGCAGTTAAATTTACACTCTGAATGCGTTACATTTTACTAGAGAAAATCAAACGTTATTTATGTTATAATCTATGCTCTAAATATTTATATGAACAGCTCTTCCAACATGCATCATCAGTCGATCTGTTTTCTATAATCATCTATCCAGGAAAAGATCATTGAGAGCCCTTAACATATCCTACCAGGAGCACACGACGGACTAAATAGAAACACTTATTAAACTGGTAAACCGGCGCATACAAACTGATCACACACCCCTTGGGAAACGTGAGGCAATAGTCTGCTCCACCAAGCAAGCCGCCGCGAAACTACAGTTAAATTAAAAATACACCTTCCCGAAAGCATTGCTACAACATTCATTTAATGAAAGAGAAAACTGGAAACATACCAGTGTTCTTCCATTTTCACCGTGCGTGGGAAATTGAGAAGCAAAACGCGATTAAAAGATAAAGTCAGCGCAGCCTCTGCCACTTCCTCTGACGCGTATCGATTGTGAAATTTAAATGGGAAACGTGTTCGTAGCTCTTTAAGAGCCCTGTGAATTACCCGTTACTAAAACTGCAGATGATATTGCTTGCAGAAAGCATTGCCGTTCAACCCGTTAGGCGACATTGGTGGCCACTTAAGAACTAAACCCAGGCGGCGTGGTGGGGGGGGGGTATTTGACTCCTACAGAGTCTGATAATATTTCAGTTACGCCTCAAGATCTGTTCCAAAAACACATCTACTAGCCTGGGAGACACAAACACTATGCTGGTCCAACCCAAAACAAAAACATGGTGCCTGATGTCTTGCTAGGAAAACACCAGTGATACATGGCTGGCTACTACTGATCAAGCCCATCTGCTAACAGTTCTCTTCCAATAGTCGCAATATAAGACGACTGAACCAGGGAAAGGAAAAAGAAAGAGGTCTGTTAACCGCCCCCTGCAGAAGGACTGTATAAGAAAACTGCTTTCTGTCACTACCTTGGCCAGCTGAAACAAGCTCTAGAGCAGCGGTTCCCAACAGGGGGGTCCCGGCCCACAAGGGGGCCTCAGCGAGCTCTGAGGGGGGCCGCGTCATATTTTAAAAATTTTTTAGCAGTGGGCAATCAGGAGAACGATCGTGTTGCCTTAGTTAATTTTATCCCCTGGCTGACCAAAAAATGGACAAATTTGTAATTCGTCCTCCACAAAAAAGACAGAGTCTCACGGATTCGCCCTCAGCAGCTAATCGTAATGACCCAAGCATACTGGACCCAGGTGAGGAAGCTCCAAACATTTCGGGTCGCAGCGCTAGCAATACTGGAAACACGAAATACAGGAAATACCAAGATATATAGTTACCTGAACTATGGTTTTATTCCATTTTCTCGAAGCAAAGAGTCCCTGACCCAGCCACAGTGCATTATCTGCGCCAAAGTTCTTGCTAACGAATGCATGAGGCCGTCAAAATTAATAAGACATTTGCAGACGACTCATCCCCAATACCGCGACAATCCCAGAGCATTTTTTGAGCGCAAGGCAAAAGAATTGACGCACACCCAAAATGAGATGAAGGACGTCACAGCTACTGATAAGAAACTTTTAAAAATATCGTACACAGTTGCTGAAAAAATCGCCAAAGCAAAGAAAGGGCATACAATTGCAGAAACTTTGATTTTGCCTTGCGCAACAGAGATTGTCAAGGAATTATTTGGAGAGGATAAATCAAAACAACTGGCCAAGATACCATTATCAAATAATACGGTCAAACGTCGCATCGCAACAATGTCGGAAGACGTGAGGGATCAGCTTTGTGCGCGACTTCGTGGTAACAAATTCGCACTTCAAATAGACGAGTCTACCGACGCGTCAAAAATGGCACAACTCCTCGCATATATACGTTCGTTATGAATGGGAAAACGAGATAAAAGAAGATTTTTTGTTTTGTAAAGAGCTCCGTACCACAACGACGGCAAACGATATTTTTGAAACTCTTGATAATTTCATCAGAACAAATGAGATAAACTGGAGTGACTGTATTGGGGTCTGTACTGATGGAGCTGCTGCGATGACTGGCAGGCAGTCCGGGGTAGTTCAGCGAATCAAAGAGGTTGCTCCGCTTGCCGTCTCAACGCACTGCTTTCTGCACAGAGAGGCGCTTTCTACAAAAGAAATGGAACCCAGTCTTTATGGAGTTTTGGATGTGGCCGTAAAAATCGTGAACTTTGTAAAAGCCAGAGCCACCAACTCCAGGTTATTCACTGCTCTCTGCGAAGAGGTCGGCGCTGATTATCATACCCTGCTGATGCACACTGACGTGAGATGGCTGTCCAGAGGGCGGGTGCTGATGCGTCTGTTCAGCTTGAGGGAGGAGTTGCGTGATTTTCTTGCAGATAAAAGACCAGACCTTGCAGAGTTTTTGGACGATGACAAATTGCTCGCACAACTCAGCTACCTTTCAGACATATTCGATGAAATGAACTTAACAAACATGAAATGAACTTAGCATTGCATTGCTTAACAAAGCAATGCAAGGTGCAAACATAAACACTGTGGTGCAGCATGAACGAGTAGAAGCTTTCAAAAGAAAACTACACATTTGGAAAACCCGTGTCTCCTCTGGAATCAGTGACATGTTTGAGCACACCCATGCATTTATTGCAGACAGACACTTTGATTTTAAAATCATTCAACGACAAATAACAGTGCATCTATCAAAGCTTCTGGAGAAATTTGAAAGTTATTTCCCAGCTCTAACTGAGGAGCAGGCAGCTGATTTTCTGTGGATCAGAAACCCTTTCGCCGAGAACATTGAAACAAAGCTTCCAACTACACTGCCTTCAAGACTTCTGGAAGAGCTTATAGAAATATCTTCTGATGCCAGCCTGAAAGCTCATTTCAGTGAAGTTTCACTGGAATCATTCTGGTCTGAAATTGCAGAAGAACACCCAGTCTGTCACACTGCTGCAATAAAGGTGCTGATTCCCTTTTGCACCACCTACCTTTGTGAAGCTGGGTTTTCAACCATGACAGCCCTTAAAACCAAATACAGGGCCAGACTCACCCTTGAGGATGATATGCGTCTTGCTCTGTCAAAGATCTCTCCACGTATTGACCAAATTATTACTCACTGCCAGCAGCAATCCTCACACTGATTGATAAAGCATAACAAATAACATGCAAGTATTAAATTGTAATAGCCTTTATTAGTTTTTTCCCTTATACACCAGTGTGAATACTGATATTTTTGTTATTGAATTTCAAATAGGGCCAATTTAAAGGCCAAAGGCNAATAGCCTTTATTAGTTTTTTCCCTTATACACCAGTGTGAATACTGATATTTTTGTTATTGAATTTCAAATAGGGCCAATTTAAAGGCCAAAGGCTTACGTTTTCAGTTACAAATGGCCTACTGATGTTTTGCTTTTATATTTTACATTAGACTATTATTTGTGCATAAACATATCTAGATATAGTAATAAACACACCGTTTGTTTGAAAACAACATTTTTTGTCATCCTTACTGCAAACTTATATGAGCGATAATATCATTAAATGTAGAGGGGACCTTACAATATTTTCCGGGGGAAAAGGGGGTCTCAGGCAAAAAAAGGTTGGGAACCACTGCTCTAGAGCACCAACCTCACCTTTGCTGTCACAGTGTGTATATCTTGCACCCACTTGAAGACCCAATATAGCACTACTTTAGAGCACTCTAGCTGCCCATTTACCACCTCTTCACCCATTACAACAGGAATTGGAGCTGTTCCAAGTTACTCCACTGTTGGAAGAGAGTTCCTGGGAATCAGTGCTGTGGTAGGGAAAAAGTATATAACTCAAAGAGAAATGTAATACCTTCAGCAAGTGAGAGGGATTCAGAGAAAATTGTGGTGAACTCAGTAGGTGAGCAGCTGCCAGATTTACTTTGTCTCCTAACGTGTTACTTTGTGGTTATGTTTTTGTTAGTTTGTTTTTCCTGTTTGTTTTTGACCCATTTTGGTCCCCTTATTTTCTGGTTTCCCCTTTGGGGTGGATCACCCCTTTTTCCATACCTTTGCCATGCCCCGCCATAAAACCATGTGATAAAAACTCTGTTTTCGGTCCCCACAAGGGGAAACTCAATTTTATAAAATCTGTGAATGCAACTTGTTCTAACCCCTTGGGGACCCAGGATCCACACAAAGAGCAGAGAGAGAAGCAAGGCATCAGGCAGATCATAGTAATTAAAAAGTCATAATCAGGAACATAAGCTGGAGTCAAAGGTCAGAATGCTGGTCCTGGGGGTGCAGGGCAATGCAGGTACATCTGTAAACACAAGCAACATGAGACACACACTCTTACTGAGACAGGGATTGGAACACACACACATTGGGCTGAGAATTGGNGGCAATGCAGGTACATCTGTAAACACAAGCAACATGAGACACACACTCTTACTGAGACAGGGATTGGAACACACACACATTGGGCTGAGAATTGGGAGAATCACTCAGCCAACCACACAAGAGGAGAATTGAATATTTGAGGAAAACCTGGGATAGCGTATGCTCAGAGATTGGATATACATTCTACTGAAAGAACCTGTTATACCAGTTAAGTATAGGGTAGGTAATTATTAAAAGCCAGAAACTGGACTGAGACACAGCTGAATCAGAACTTTGGGAGGGAAGACCTGAAAGGGGCAGGTGTGGCTCCAGTGATGGAGCCATCAGCCTCACACCTGTATGATTACCTTTTTTTTGGGCCAATTATGTTACACTCAACAAACTTACTTTAATTTTATGTGCAATTGTATTTGAATGTTAGCCATGTAGATGCTTGGCCCCTTCATATGCTTGATAAAGATGAATTTCCCTAACAAATGTTTATTTAGATCACAGAAGACAGGTTTCCTTGATCCTCCCACATATAAATAAAGTTGTCAGAAAAGCCTTCTTCTACACGACATTGTACAATGGTCTGCAAGCTCATGTTCTCGATGTCACACTGTACCTACATCTAATATATGTAACTGTAACTATGGTTGCTGGTGTACCTGTATATGCCCTTTCGGCCTACTGTGCTTGTCCATCAATGTCTCATCATCTATGCATGATCTAACCAGTCCTGTTCTCTACTTTCCTTCCTTTTCCTTCCCATCCAAATGGTGCCTGGGATAGGCATAATCTGAGCTGGAGTCCTGGTTCTGCCCCATGGAATGGTGCACTATAACAGAATGCTGTAAAAAAAATAGTGAAATTATTACATTAACATACTGTTTATCAGTAAAACGGTACAATTGTTATGTCCTAAGAAATCATTAATTATGTTGGTATTACAATGTTGTGCATATGCATGGATGTTGCGTTGTAGGTTGCTTGTGGTGTCAGTTCTCAGTTCCCTTCTAGGCCTGTGGCCTGTACTACGAAGCGGGGTTACTGGCTTATCGAGGTAACTTTGCGAGTAACTTGATGGCATGTGGTGTAACTTCGCGATTAACCCGTACTACGAAAGGTGGGTAGGTTTTACTCGAGGCATGCTGCTATGGCAATATATGCTAAGTCTCAAGTCTGTCAGTATATATGAAATGGAGCACTGGCATATAATATGCATACAATGTATTAATGAATAACTGTTAAAGAGAAAGTTATTCTGAAAACCCAAGGGGTGTGCATTGTTC